TGGGAGTATCGCTTGAGCACAGGAGGTTGAGGCTGCAATGAAGCGTGATCGAGCCACTATACTCCAGCCTGGGCAGCAGAGCAATACCCTATCTCAAAAAACAAAACAAAACCACAGACAAAAAAAAAATTATGATTAAAATTATCTGTCATTCCTTCGCTGAAAGATAGCAGTGCAGTATTTATAGTATGGGTTTTAGTATGCAGTATCTATGTATGGGTTTTTTTTTTTTTTCAGCCTGCACACCTTTATATATTTGACATCTTAACTACAATGTTACTCTTCTATAGATTTTTATATTTAATGCCAAATTTTTTTGGTCTGTTTTATGCATTTATATGCATTGTCAGACTGAGAAATTTTTGACTCTTACATAATAGTGTCGTTGGCTCAATCCTTACAGGTCAGTAACTCCCAAGGTGGGGCAATATTTCTATTAATGGAAAGTTTATATATTATTTGAGTTAGCACTTACGAAACTGATTTAGATGTCTGTCCTTTGGACCCCATCTTCTCTAGTACTTTTTCAGGCAAAGTAATCCTTGGTTTACTTCTTGTCTTCCTTGTACCCTCTTTAAAGCAAATCCCATGTGGTTTTTATCCCTGGCCCTGGCAGGCAGTACATGCTTAATAAATGCTTGAATGGATGAACAGACAGGCAGGTGTACCCCAGAATCTGATGTGGGACTGGGTGGTTATAGTTTGAAAAAATTACTGAAGTAAGTTCAGATATGTCTGAAAAAAATGATTGGTAAATATGATGGTGGTAGGAGAGGCAGTTAGAGTGGGGTTGAGGTAAGCACAAGGACTCGGAGACATTTTAGGATAGGTGAGCTTCAGCTCTTCCAGGAAAAGTAAAACGTCTTCTAGTTCCAGAAACATCCTGGGCCTGTCCTCCCCACCAGGCCTGGTTTTCGCTGGTGAATAACCCCTCCCCCAAGTATGGTGGAGGGATTGCGTTCTATCCTTCCATCTCCCCTATCCTACTCACTTGTAGGACATCTTATTCTCAAAATAAGGACATAATAATACATTTTGGAGTTTGCTCCTCCCCGGGTATCTTCCTAATAAAGATTTCGATGAGAAGCTGCTGCAGTGTAATGCATTTCAGCTAGGGATAACCAGAGCCTGTCAGTCAACAGCTGCATCTGTCCCATCCTTTCCTAGGAAGGTCTGGGATGAGGAAGAATTTAAATAAAAGGTGGGAGGGGACTAGAGCATTGAAGGACTGCCGAGGGATTACCCCAGGAAGAAAAGGTCCATCTGGGAGGCATTAACGGGTTTGTTGGTAAGCCAGGCTCGTCTAGTAAGCCCAGACAACTCTGGGCTGCTCACTGAGGTATTTGTGGCACTGTGGCCACAAAGCCAGTATGATTT